GAATAAGAGAGGAACGATAATGTTACTATACATTCCTGTACTACAGCTTGCGAGGTATCTGAATAATTGTTACTATTGGCCCCCTTGCTGCACTCTTAGGGCTCAATGAGAGAAAAGAAAAACATCCTTGAGCAATGTCAATATATATCTTATCGTATCTCATTTTATCTCATCTCATCTCATCTCATCTCATCTCATCTCCTCTTATTTAATCTAATCTTATCTTATCTTATCTTATCTTATCTTATCTTATCGTATCTCATTTTATCTCATCTCATCTCCTCTTATCTAATCTAATCTTATTTTATCTTTTCTTATCTTATCTTATCTTATCTTACATATGCCAAAGACTAAAGATAAACATTCAACAGATCTAGAGAAATAAAACTATTATTTTCGTTACTCTCATTGAACATCTCGGCAGTTCTTGTGTCTTAAAAAGGATGGACATTGGAAATCATTTATGCTACCCATGAAGTTGAGATTATTTCAGAATGCTATCAGATCTGCTGGGGTAATAATATAGACTGTAACGCGCATAAAGCTTGCTGCTGAGCGGGAATTTGTACAAATGCTGTCGAATAAACTATTTGATCTGACTGTAATATCAATAATTGACTGACATCAATAATTACACAGTTCTATCTGCTGGGTACTTTGTTTCGAGAAATGTGATGTAAGAAATGTTTAATTTCACAACTCGCCAAGCTTTATCGAATGCGATTCTTTGAATATCTTGATAAAGACTCCGAATAATCTTACAATTTTGATAGAGCTGTACATTTGGGTTTTGACCCCATGGTCTTAGTATCTCAAAACGGCCTAAAACGTCAGATACACCTTATGTAATTCTGAGGTAATATTGATTAGCTAAAGGGTTTAGCTTATCGAGTTTTGCGCATTTTGGTCATTCGACAAGGATTGAAGACACGTTGTCTTGGGGCACTTACAAAAACCCCAACTTCGTTATTGATACAGATTTTGTACAATTCTCTTTTCTTTATCTGAGACTTCAAAAGGCAAGCAATGGTAATAAGCATACTGGTGTGGCTTGCTCCTTCTTTCCTATCGAGCATCTATCGTCCTTATCTTCACGTATAATACATAATAATGATAATGATAATAACAAATAATAACAAATAATAACAACAACAACAATAACATCGATAACAATAACAATAGTAATAACAATAGCAAAAACAAAAACAATAACAAAAACAATAACAATAACAATAATGATAATATTAACAACATCTACCCTCTTTCTTTCCTCTTCCTTTTATTTGTATGTTTCTTTCATGTAACACGTCTAATCTTCGGCACTAATATGACCTATTTGTATTGCAAGTGCTTTAAAACGCTTATCTATTATCTATTTGTGGTGGCCAAATTTTGCTATTCAAAAGGCTTTTTAATGGTTGCATCAATCGACATGCGGTTTTCGCCAAAAGATTTTTTAAATTATTCTCCAGAGCATGACGCCCTTCGTTTATTCAGTTTTTAGACCGTTTTGCTGCAAAAAGCTAAATTTCTTTATTTCGCTGATCGCTTTTGTAGGCCGACGCTTCTGTCTTTGGAATTTTAGAAAATCCGAAAGTGATATTTCGCGAGGCGCATTTTGTTTTAAGAGTATAGATCTAGACCTTATAATTCTCTCAAGATTTATTGTCCCATTCCAGTAGAGCGTAAATATAGTAGGCCAATGACTTTTAGTTGATATTAATGCACCGATCATTCCTTTCATCGAAAGGGGACCCAGCTTGGCTATTATATATTAGGCAACATGGAAACACGTTTGTCCCTTTTCTCTCAAGATTTATTGCTCCATTCTAATAGAGTGTAAATATAGTAGGCCAATGACTTTCAGTTGATGTTAGTGCACCGATCATTCCTTTCATCGAAAGTGGGCCCTGCTAGTACTTAATAAAACTAAAACTAAAACTATAGCTGCACACACACACACACACACACACACACACACACACACACACACACACACACACACACACACACACATCAGTGTAGTACAGCCAATTTTAAGGCACAATGTACAATCCTTGCAATCATTACAATTATCACAATCATTTGAGAAACGAATAAATGTGAACAGTTCTCGACCTCAATTGCAAACCGCCATTTTCAATTATTCGCACTCCTTTCGACAGACGCCAGATCAAACGTGTCGTCAGTGAAGAGAAAATGGCGGGCCCCTTTGGGAAATGTTCGGCCCAGCAGGAAGTGGGCGTATACAAAAGGAAGCTGCGACATTTTATTTATTTTCAGAATAGACTCTCTCTCTCTC